TAGAAAAACAAAGAAATGGGAGAGGCTATAGTGTGTAGGGATTTACACTGCATAACAACACTTTAAAGAAATTGAGGAAGTGATTACTGTAAAAGTCAGAATCATTGTTAATTTGGGCGGCAGAGTGGACTGTGGGTGGCCTGGAAAAATTCCATTTCTTGATTTGTGTGCTGGGCTCCAAGGGTATTTAGCTTATAATAATTCATTAAGCTATGCATTTTTGCATACTGTGTATATATGTATTTATTTTCCAGTAAAAAGTTAAACAATCCAATCAAAAGGCAGAGATTGTCAGGCTGGATTAAAAATCATGACCCAACTTTAGATTCTAAGAAACAAGCAGGTTGAATGTAAAATACTGGATAAAAAGACGTAGCAGGTAAACAACAACCACAAGAAAGTGGAAGTGGCTATAGATATGCACCTAATACTGAAACATCAAAACACACCAAGCAAAATGGACAGAAATGTGAGAGAAAGATAATTCAACAATCGTTGGATACTTCAGTACCCTACTCTCAATAATAGATGGAACAACCGGACAGAAGATTGCTGAGGAAATAGAAGACTTGAATAATACTACAAACCAACTAGACCTAACAACATCTATAGAACATGTCACTTAACAACAAAATATATACTCTTCTCAAGTGCACATAAAACATTTTCCAGGAAAGACATATGCTAGGGAATAAAATAAACATCAATACATTAAATAGGGTAGAATAATAAAAAGTGTGCTCTTCAGTCACAATGAATAAAATTAGAAATCAATAGCAGAAAAAAACAGGAAATATTACAAATATGTAATAATACTCCCCAATAACCAATGAGTCAAGGAGGAAATAAAAAAAGGATTCAGAAAGTGGTTGGGCGCAGTGGCTCACACCTGTAATCCCTGCACTTTGGGAGGCCGAGGTGGGTGGATCACCTGAGGTCAGAAGTTCAAGACCAGACTGACCAATATGGTGAAACCCTGTCTCTAGTAAAAATACAAAAATTAGCTGGGCATGGTGGCGCATGCCTGTAGTCCCAGCTACTCGGGAGGCTGACACAGGGAGAATTGCTTGAACCCAGGAGGTGGAGGTTGCAGTGAGCTGAGATCACACCACTGCACTCCAGCCTGAGTGACAGGGTGAGATTCTGTCAAAAAAAAAAAAAAAAAAAAAGAATTCAGAAACTACTTCGAGGTAAATGAAAATAAAGATCAATATACCAAAAATTTATAGGATGCAGCTAAAGCAACATTTATAGGAGAATTTATCATCGTAAATGTCTATATTGAGAAAGAAGAAAAACAAAAAAAACTTGTATGTAAATGTTTCAAGCAGCATTCTTCATAGTAGCCCAAAGTGGAAACAACCCAAATGCCATCAACTGACAGATGAACAAATGTGCTACATGATACAATAGATTGTTATTTGGCCAGAAAAGGGAATGAAGTACTGATACCTGCAAAAGCATGGATGGATCTTGGAAATGCTATGCTAAGTGAAAGATGCCAGTCACAAAGAATATACATTATATGATTCCATTCATGTGAAATTCCAGAACAGAGAAGTCTATAGAGACAGAGGTGGAATAGTAATTACTTAGGGCTGAGAGAGGATGGGGGTGGTGGATACAGGGATGATTGCAAAAGGTGTGAGGTTGCATTTTGAGTTGATGAAATGCTCTTAAATTGACTGGGGTGATGAGTGCAAATATCTATGAATATACTAAAACCATTGAAGTGTATACTTTAAGTGGGTGACTTGGTTGGTATCTGAATTACATATCAATAAAGTTTTTAAAAAGCTAAAAGTGTTTAGAAACATTGTTGTAAGTACCTCTGAATACCCGAGTAAGACATATTTGGGAGGATCTGTAAATTCAGATTTAACCAATATAATGATATTAAACATTAGAAGTTTAGTTTTACTCATCTTTATCCAATGTAAACTGTATTTTATACTAATATTATAATATAATAAACTCCACTTTTTATATTTAATGTCTTCATCATTTTCTAATATTTCAACTCAATTTTTGTAATTAGCTATTTTAAAAGTCTGTATACAATTTCAAGGAGTGAATGTGCTAAAGTTTATGTAATAATTCTCCCTATCTCCTGTAAGAAACTGTCAAACCATTTTCCAAAGTGGTTGTACCATTTTGCATATCCACCTGAAATATATCAGAGTTCCAGTTGCTCTACATCCTCACTGGTGCTCTGTGTTGTTAGCTTTTAAAAAGCTATTCTGGCCAGGCACAGTGGCTCATGCCTGTAATCCCAGCACTTTGGGAGGCTGAGGCAGGTTCAAGACCAGCCTAGCCGACATGGTGAAACCCCATCTCTACTAAAAATACAAAAAATTAGCTGGATGTGGTGGCAGGTACCTGTAATCCCAGCTACTCTGGAGGCTTAGGCAAAAGAATCCCTTGAACTGCAGAGGCAGAGGATATAGAGGCAAAAGAATCGCTTGAACCCCAGAGGCAGAGGTTGCAGTGAGCCAAGGTCAGTCATTGCATTTCAGCCTGGGCAACAAGAGTGGAACTTCAAAAAAAAAAAAAAAAAAAGCTATTCTAATACGTGTGCAGCAAGATCTAATTATAGTTTTGATCTGCACTTCTCTATGCTGATGAATATCTTTTCATGTGTTTATTTGCTACTCATATCTTTTTGGCTGTTTACATGGTTTTCCAGTTTTTCTAAAAGTTGGCTTATTTGATTTCTTATTGAATTGTGAGAGTTTTTAAAATCCATATTATTTATACAAGGCCTTCATCAGATATGTGATTTACAAATATCTTCCCCCAGTTTGTGGCTTGTCTTCAATGTCTTAACCGTATTTTTAGAAGAAAAGACATTTAAAATTTTTATTGTCTAATTTGTTAACTTTTAATTAATTAATTTTGCTAACTTTGTTTGCAGAGACTATTTTTGTGTGGTAGGAAATAGGGAGATGTTGAAGAATTTTCAGCAGGGGAGCAGCATATTGAAAGAGACATTAGGACAAAAATTGGTTTGAGTGTAGACAACAATATAAATTGAAGTAGAAATAAATCTAGGGTAAGAGAAATTAGCTGTTACAATAAATTAGGCATGAAATAAATGAGGAAGTTAGGTAAGTATAGTAACAACCAGAATTATACCTTATTAAAATTTAATCTATCTGCTTAACTAGAATCTGCTAATGATTGAATAGGTTTTCTTACAGACAGGGTTACTTTGGATGACTCCAAAGGGAAATCCAGAGACTTCCCTGATCAGCAACGTGAGAAGGCCCAACCTCCTTAATCCTATTTGGCCTGTCCCTCAAATGCCCCCTTTAAGAAAATGTGTATCACGGTTTTCCATTCAGTCAGGAAACATAAACTTTTTAGGATGCAATTTAGTCATAATGCTTATGTGTATTAGTTATTGCTATATCACAAACCACTTCAAAAGTTAGGGTCTTAAAACAACCATCAGCTGGTTGCTGTAATCCTGGGCTGAGGCGGGCAGATCACTTGAGGTCAGGAGTTCGAGACCAGCTTGGCCAACATGGTGAAACCACATCTCTACTAAAAATATAAGAATTAGCCAGGCATGGTGGTGGGTGCCTGTAATCCTAGCTGCTCGAGAGGCTGAGGCAGGAGAATCACTTGAACCCAGGAGGCGGAGGTTGCATTGAGCTGAGATCGTGCCACTGCACTCCAGCCTGGACAACAGAGCAAGGCTCTGTCTCAAAACAACAACAAGAATAACAACAAAAAACAAAAACAAAAACAAAAAAACAGAACAACCAAAAAAAAAACCCCCCAAAAATCCAAAACATCATTTACTTAGCTCATGATTCTGAAGATTGACCATTTGGGGTGGGAACAGCTAGGTTCTTCTGGTTCCTTCTGGGTCCCCTACTTGGCTACAGATGGCTTTGTTGATCTTGGCTGAGCTCTCTCAAATGTCCTGGTGCCTTGGCTAGCTTATTGAAGCCCAGGCTCAGCATTAACAAGTGCCTTCCACGGTATTTAATTGGACAAAATAAGTCAAAGGGAGCCCAGATTCAAGGAATGCATACAAGGAGGGGAATAATTGTAGGCATTTTTGCAAACAGTATACTTTGGTGCTTGCCTTCAGACCTGAGATATGGTCATGTCTGTGACATTCTTGGAAAGAAAAGCATCCTAGAGACCTTTCTAGGAGTTATTGGCGCAGGAAGTATTTATAAGATAAACTTTCATTAAATTCATTGTAGCAGGATCTGGGAATTAGGATCTCAAGGGGAAAGCCCAACTCTTGTTGTTTGCTTCCCATAAGAATAAGAAACAGCAGCATTATCAAGTGCTGTACTTTACTACAAATATTAATCGGCAACAATTGACCCTCTCTGGGACTTTCCATTTAGTTATTTGCTGGAAGCTGTTCCTGTAATTTTCAACAGTGCTGTTATCTATGAGATTATTTTTCTTTTAGCTGTGCTGGGTTTTCAGGTGCATTAATATAGCTTAATATCTCTTCCTGTTGCTTCTCTAATTAAAAGCTTGTTGGATTTCCAAATAAGAAATAACATACACAAGCACTGGTAATACAGGCTGCTAATAATTGGGAGAAAAACTTCAGCAAGGAACAGCATCAACCAGGCTTGAGGGATCTTATGATCGGGCAAACAAAGAGGCCTAGAAGTCTGAGGGGGATTGGTGGGCAGTGATCTGGCTCTGAGCAGCTGGCCTCCCTGAGAGGGGCTGCTGCAGATGGAGGGCCGCCAACGGGCAGCCTGAATATAGTGCATGTGCCCTGTCCCGAGCTGGATGTTTGAATTCTGGGTCCCAGAGAACAGCTAATGTCTGTCTTTCCAATTACTGCCTGTATCCTTTCCTGCTTCCCCAAGTCCCTCATTCCTCTCCTCTTGGCGGCTTTTGCCCTCTTTGGTTCAGGCCGCAGGAAACCTTTCCTCTAGTTCTAAGGATCGGCCACTAGATGGCACTAGCTGTTCGGATTAAAGTGCCTTCCTGCACTCCACAGGCCCAGGGCGAGGGCAGGCAGGGTCTGAAGACAGCTTCTCTCGGCCACCGTCATTCTCTCTCCCACTTCGCTCTTCACTTATCGCTTCCTCGTTCCATTTAAACATTAGATTCCTTCCAGCAGCGGTGTTTGCGTGATTTCGAAGGTACGGAAACTGTGTGTTTGGTGTGGTGGGGTGCCCGTGGAAGAAAGGGAGTTTGTAGGTTCCACAAGAACCTTAGCTGCCCCCTAAGGACACAGATCGAACTCCAGGCAAGAGAAACAGCGACTGCCTCCCTCCCTCATGCCATGAGCACTGGCCTCAAGAATCCCTGCTGAGCTGTTCTATAGCCTCTCACACTGTTACTTAAAAAACTGAGTTCTTGGTTGTGCGGTGGCTCACGCCACCCAGCACTTTGGAAGGCCGAAACGGGTGGATCACTTGAGGTCAAGAGTTGGAGACCAGCCTGGCCAACATGGCGAAACCCAGTGTCTACTAAAAATACAAAACAATTAGCTTGGCGTGGTAGCGGGCACCTGTAATCCCAGCCACTCGGGAGGCTGAGGCAGGAGAATCGGTTGAACCTTGGAGGCAGAGACTGCAGTTAGCCAAGATCGGGCCACTGCACTCCAGCCTGGGAGGCAGAATGAGACTCGGTCTCAAACATAAATAAAGTAGGCCGGGCGCCCTGGCTCATGCCTGTAATCCCAGCACTTTGGGAGCCCGAGGCGGGCGGATCACGAGGTCAGGAGATCGAGACCCATCTGGCTAAGACGGTGAAACCCCGTCTGTACTAAAAATACAAAAAATTACTTGGGCGTGGTGGCGGGTGCCTGTAGTCTCAGCTGCTCGGGAGGGTGAGGCAGGAGAATGGCGTGGACACGGAAGGCGGAGCTTGCAGTGAGCCAAGATCGCGCCACTGCACTCCAGCCTGGGCCACAGAGTGAGATTCTGTCTCAAAATAAAATAAAAAATAAATAAAATAAATAAAACAAAATAAAACACAAAAATTGAACTCTTCCTTTTCTCCATCCTCTCACCCTAATCCATTCTTTTTATAGTTTCATCCTCACTGATGTGAATTTTTTGTTGTTGTTGTTTTGTTTTATTGTTTTTTGAGACAAAGTCTTGCTCCATCACCCAAGCTGGAGTGCAGTGGTGTGATCTCGGCTCACTGCAACCTCCACTTCCCGGGTTCAAGCAATTCTCCTGCCTCAGCCTCCCGGGTAGCTGGGATTACAGGGGCCCACTACCACACCCAGCTAATTTTTGTATTTTTAGTAGAGACGGGGTTTCATCATGTTGGTCAGGCTGGTCTCGAACTTCTGACCACAGGCAATCCACCCACCTCGGCCTCCCAAATTGCTGGGATTTCAGCCGTGAGCCACCAGGCGGCCTGATGTCACCTTTTCACCCAATCATTTCTGGAAGCTAAAAGCCATCCTATTTTCTTACATAAGTCTAGTGCCTTTTCCAGTCTACTACCTTAATGCTCCCTAACTTCATGACTGCCCCCACCCCTCCCTTTCCTCTCCGTTTGTACTGAATAATGGCACCGGTTTTTGGATCACCTATTTGTTTAATTACACAAGCCCTGGTTTTGACAGTGGGGATACAGCAGTGACTTCTAAGCTGAAACTTTAAGAATAAGTTGAAGTTAGCCAGGCAAATAGGGGTAACAGCATTCTTGATAGAGCAGATTTCAGCTAGGAGTGACTTTGCCTGGAAGGAGCCATTTGACAATGTCCATGACTAGACATTTTTGGTTGTTACAATTGGGGAAGGGAGTGGGGTTTGCTCCTGACATCTAGTGGGGAGAGGCCAAAGATGCTCTAAACATCCAGCAATGCCCATGACAGTCCCCAACAACAAATATTTAGCTCCCAAGTATTAGTAGTGCTAAGCTTGAGAAACCTGTGATAGAGAAAGCTGCAGAGAGACTATGGTTTTTTTGAGAAACAGAGTTTTATTAGAATGGGAATGAAGGTTGGGAGATGTTAGTAGGGACCAGGGTGTGCAGAGCTGCACCAGGGAGTTTGTACTCTCTCCCAAGGCCAATGGAAGTAACTGGAGATATTGGCTCCACTGGAAACTCTGTTCCAAGGGCCATTGAAAGCCCTTGCGGGGAAGCTATGGACCCTCACAAATACGTGGTGAATGAATATGCTCCATTCCAGGCCTTTTTGTCCAGACCTCTGTAAGCAAATACTGATATGCTATCAGCCTATACTAAACCAGAAGTATAGTATTCACTTATTTCATAAACAAGCAGAGTAATTGAACTTGCGTGACAAAGCACTATTCTGTACTTTTCATAAAGATTTTTACTTTTCATCGTCCTGATGTGTCCAGAATCGGTTCCTTCCAGGTGGGTTCTCTGTCTGGCTGACTTCAAGAATGAAGCCACAGACGCTTGCTGTGAGCGTTAAAGTTCTTAAAGATGGTGTGTGCAGTGTTTGTTCCTTCAGATGTTCAGATGTCCAGAGTTTTTTCTTTCTGGTGGGTTCGTGGTCTCTCTGGCTTCAGGAGTGAAGCTTCAGACCTTCCCGGTGTTAGTGGTGGCGCAGAGACAGAGTGAGCAGCAATAACAGTTATTGCACACAGCCTGCAATGAAACAAGAGGTGGTGGTTGATGCAAGAGTGGGTGGCCTGCTTTTATACCCTTATTTGACCCCACCCACATCCTGCTGATTGGTCCATTTATAGAGTGCTGATTGGTCCATTTTACAGAGTGCTGATTGGTGCATTTACAAACCTTTAGCTAGACACAGAGCACTGATTGGTGCATTTACAATCCTTTAGCTGGACAGAAAAGTTCTCTAAGTCCCCACCGGAAGCAGAAGCCCAGCCAGCTTCGCCTCTTGCTGACAGCCCTATGTAATAAAATATCTTTTTGTTTTTTAAATCCTTATTTTTTCAGATAAGAACACAGAAGCCCAGGGAAGATAAGTAACCTCCCAAACATCGCACAGCAGGTAAGTAATAAGGTCGAGAGTTTAATCCAGAGCTGCAAGATGGCAGAGTCCAAGTTCACAGCCATAAGCTATACTGCTGTTATGCTATTTTGCCATATTTTCAAAGAGTAACAAAAGTAAATGATCACCCATCTTTTATATGTTTCAAGGCTACTATTCACGTCTTTTATATATGTCAAGGTTACTATTCCAGTAGCCTTGAAAATAGAACATAGATTTAATGTACTTTCTTAGAAAACTTTGTTCTATGTGTATTCATTTTTTAAATAGTATAATCCAATAATAGTTGGAAAGAACTTGAAAAAAATACACTCCACATACTTACGGTCATAACAAATAAGCATTGAATTAAAAAGTTAGGAATAAAATAATCAAATGAACCCAAGAAAAGCAGAAAAAATAAAAGCAGAAATGTATATGTTAGAAAACAGAAACATTTATAGAAACTAAATAAATGCATGAGTTTGTTGTTTGAAAAATCAGAGAAATATATAAACTATTAGGTCATCTAATCATTTTTTAAAAGGAAGACATAAAGCCATGTATTAGAAATGACAATGTAGAACTAACTGCAAAACCAGAGGAAAGTAAATGAACCAGCACAACATGATTTTTGCTCGGTATTTACAAATACACCTATATGAAATTGTAGGAAAATATGAAGTAACAAAATGTATCTTTTTTTTTTTTTTTTTGAGATGGAGTCTCACTCTGTAGCCCAGGCTGGAGTACAGTGGTGCCGTCTCGGCTCACTGCAAGCTCCACCTCCCTGGTTCACGCCATTCTCCTGCATCAGCCTCCCGAGTAGCTGGGACTACAGGCGCCTGCCACCACGCCCAGCTAATTTTTCATATTTTTAGTAGAGATGGGGTTTCACTGTGTTAGTCAGGATGGACTCGATCTCCTGACCTCGTGATCTACCGGCCTTGGCCTCCCAAAGTGCTGAGATTACAGGCATGAGCCACCACACCTGGCCAATTATACTCTTAGCTATCTTAAAAAATCCAATTATACTCTTAGCTATCTTAAAATGTATCATTAAATTATTATTGACTATAGTCGCTGTATTGTGCTATCAAATACTAGGTCTTATTCTTTCTTTCTACTTTTTTGTACCCACTAACCATCCCCACATTCCCCTCCCCCTCCTGCACACCCTCCACCCCAGTTAGCCTTCCCAGCCTCTGGTAACCTTCCTTCTACTCTCTAGCTCCATGAGTTTCATTGTTTTATTTTTTAGCTCTCACAAGTAATTGAGAACATGTGAAATTTGTCTTCCTGAGCCTGGCTTATTTCACTTAACATAATGATCTCCACTTCCATCCGTATTGTTGCAATTGACAGGATCTTATTCTTTTTTTATGGCTGAATAGTCCACAATTGTGTATAGGTACCACATTTTCTTTATCTGTTTGTCTGCTGATGGAACTTGGGTTGCTTCCAAATCTTGGCTATTGTGAATAGTGCTGCTGTAAACATAGGAGTGCAGATATCTCTTTGATATACTGATTTCCTTTTTTGGGGGTATATACCAAGCAGTGGGATTGCTGGATCATATGGTAGCTCTATTTTTAGTTTTTTGAGGAACCTCCAAACTGCTCTCCGTGGTGGTGGTCTTAATTTACATTCCCACCAACAGTGTACGAGGTTTTCTCCACATCCTCGCAAGCATTTGTATAGCCTGTCTTTGGATAAAAGCCATTTTAACTGGGGTGAGATGATACGTCATTGTAGTTTTGATTTGCATTTCTCTGATGATCAATGATGTTGAACACCTTTTTATATGCCTGTTTCCCATTTGTATGTCTTCTCTGAGAAATGTCTACTCAAATATTTTGCCCATATTTTAATTGGCTTATTAGATTTTTTTTTCCTATAGAGTTGTTTGACCTCCTTTTATATTTTGGTTATTAATCTCTTGTCAGATGGGTAGTCTGCAAATATTTTAGTCCATTCTGTGGGCTGTCTATTCTCTTTATTGATTGTTTTCTTTGCTATGCAGAAGGTTTTCTTTCTTTCTTTCTTTCTTTTTAACTTGATGAGTTCCCATTTGTCCATTTTTTTCTTTGGTAGCCTATGCTTGTCTGGTATTACTCAAGAAATCTTTGTCCACTTCAATGTCCTGGAAATTTTCCCCAATGTTTTCTTGTAGTAGTTTCATAGTTTCAGGTTTTAGATTTAAGTCTTTAGTCAACTTTGATTTGATTTTTGTATGTGGTGAGAGATAGGGGTCTAGTCTTATTCTTTTACATATGGATAGCCAGTTTTCCCAGCACCATTTATTGAAGAGACTGTCTTTCCCCCATGTATATGCTTTTTAAAAATGAGTTTGCTGTAGGTGTGTGGATTTGCTTGTGGGTTCTTTATTCTGTTCCATTGGTCTATGTGTCTGTTTTTATGCCAGTACCATGCTGTTTTGGTTACTAAAGCTCTGTAGTATAACTTGAAGTCAGGTCCCGTGATTCCTTCAGTTTTGTTCTTTATTCTCCAGATAGCTTTGGCTATTCTGGGTCTTTTGCAGTTCCATATAAAATTTTAAGTTTTTTTTTTTTCTATTTCTGTGAAGAATGTCATTGGTATTTTGATAGGGATTGCACTAAATTTGTAAATTGCTTTGGGTAGTATGGACATTATAGCAATATTCATTCTTCCAATCCATGAACATAGAATATCTTTCCATGATTTTCGTGTCCTCTTCAATTTCTTTCATCAGTGTTTTTTAGTTTTCATTATAGAGATCTTTCACTTCTTTTGTTAATTTTTAGGTATTTAACTTTATGTGTCGCTTTTGTAAACAAGATTACTTTCTTCATCTCATTTTCAGATTGTTTGCTGTTGGCATATAGAAATGCTACTGATTTTTTGTATGTTGATATTGTATCCTGCAAGTTTGCTGAGCTTGTTTATCAGTTCTAACAGATTTTTTGTGGAGTCTTTATGGTTTTCCAAATATAAGATTATATCATCTGCAAACAGGGATAATTTGATTTCTTTCTTTTCAGTTTGGATGTCCTTTATTTCCTTCTCTTGTGTGATTGCTCTGGCTAGGACTTTCAGTGCTGTGTTGAGTAACAGTGGTGAAAGTGGGCATCTTTGTCATGTTCTACACCTTAGAGGAAAGGCTTTCAGTTTTTCCCCATTCAGTATGACACTAGCTGTGGGTCTGTTGTGTATAGCTTATATTACGTTGAAGTATGTTCTCTCTATACCCAGTTTTTTGAGAATTTTTATTATGAAGGGATGTTGAATTTTATCAAATGCTTTTTCAGCTTCAATGGGGATGATCATATACTTTTTGTTCTCCATTTTGTTGATACGATGTATCACATTGATTGACTTGTGTATGTGGAATTATCCTTGCATCCCTGGGGTAAATCTCACTTGGTTATGATGCATGATTTTTTTAGTATATTGTTGAATTTTGTTTGCAAGTATTTTGTTGAGATTTTTTTCATCAATATTCATCAGGGATATTAGCCTGTAGTTTTGTGAGTTTTTTTTTTTTTTTTTAAATGTGTAGTTGTCTGATTTTGGTATCAGGGTAATACTGACTTTGTAGAATGAAGTTGGAACTATTCATTCCTCTATCTTTTGAAACAGTTTGAATAGGATTGGTATGAGTTTTTCTTTAAATGGTAGAATTAAACAGTGAAGCTGTCGGGTCCCAGGCATTTATTTGCTGGGACACTTTTTATTATGGCTTCAGTCTCATTACTTGCTATTAGTCTGTTCAGGTTTTGGATTTCTTCATGGCTTAATTTTGGTAGGTTGTACGTATCTAGGAATTTCATCCACTTCTTCTAGATTTTCCAATCTATTGGCATATAGTTGCTCATAGTAGCCAATAAAGATTCTTTGAGTTTCTGCAGTATTGATTGTAATGCCTCCTTTTCATCTCTGATTTTATTTATTTGGATCTCTTTGCTTTCTTAGTCTACCTAAGGGTTTGTCAATTTTGTTTATCTTTTCAAAAAACCAACTTTTTGTTTCATTGATGTTTTGTAATTCAATTTCATTTACTTCTGCTCTGATCTTGATTATCTCTTTTCTTCTAGTAATTTTGGGTTTGGTTTGCTCTTGCTCTTCTAGTTCTTTAAGATGAATCATTATTTATTTGAAGTTTTTCTTCCTTTTTGATGTAGGCACTCAAAGCTATAAACTTCCCTTTTAGTACTGCTTTCATTTTATCCCATAGGTTTTCATATGTTGTGTTTCCATTATCATTTGTTTCAAGACAGTTTTCAATCTCCTTAATTTCTTCATTGACCCACTGGTCATTCAGGAGCATGTTGTTTAATTTCCATGTATTTGTATAGTTTCCAAAATTTCTCTTGTTATTGATCCCAGTTTTATTCTATTGTGGTCAGAGAAGATGCTAGCTATTTTTTCAGTTATTTTGAATGTTTTAAGACTTGTTTTGTGACCTAACATGGTCTATCCTTAAGAACGATCCATATGCTGCGGAGAAAAATGTGTATTCTGCAGCCATTGGATGAAATGCTCTGTAAATATCTATTAAGTCCATTTGGTCTATAGCGCAGATTAAGTCTGATGTCTCTTTATTAGATCCATCCAATGAGGAAAGTGGATGCTTAAGTCTCCAGCTATTATTGTATTGGGGTCTATCTCTGTCTTTAGCTCTAATAGTATTTGCTCTCTATATCTGGGTGCCCCAGTATTGGGTGCATATATATTTAGAGTTATTGTATCCTCTTGATGAATTGACTTCTTTATCATTATACAATGACCTTCTTTGTCTCTTCTTACAGTTTTTTCTTGAAATCTGTTTTGTCTGATGTAAGTATGGCTACTCCTGCCCTTTTTTGGTTTCCATTGGCATGGAATATCTATTTCCGTATCTTTATTTTCAGTCTATGTTTGTCTTTATAGGTGAAGGGTATTTCTTATAGACAACAGGTAATTGGGTCTTATTTATTTTTTATTTTTCACTCAGCCACTCTGTGTCTTTTGATAGGAGAGTTTAGTCTATTTACATTCAG